TTCTCGCTCTCTTTCTAATAACTTCATTAATAACTACATTAGAATGCTGTCAACGGCTCAAGCCTCCATTACCAGCTTTAAAATGACGTTTTGGAACTAGCAAAAGAGGGGTTGGATGAGATGCGGAAGAAGTAATCCTACTCATAATAGCGATTTAAGTACAAAAACCGGACGAATTCCTTTAAATATATCATCTGATCGATGTCTTGAGGTGTGGTAACCGTAGTATAAATGGAATAATTGACTCCGGGCCGTTGAATTATTAGAAAAATAATGCACACTCTGCTTCGCGTCGTGGCCGCATCACCACCTCGGGTGTGCATTATTTTTCTAATAATTCAACGGCCCGTCGTCAATTATTCCTTACATATGCACTCCCTGTAAGACAGGATAAAAATGACAAAAACACAACAAAATTAATAAAACTTAAATTAAATTAAAAAAATATTAGTATATCAATGATACCAAAATAACATTAATAAGTAAAACAAAATAGACTAATACGGTTTAATCAGAGTATCATGTAATTACTGTAATTCCGGAACGTTGACAGCAATCTATAGGCCTGTTGGAATAGTCTGTAAGCAATATTCTAGACTCTTGTGCAATTTTTGTGTGTCATGCATGAGTGACCAATAGGAGTTTTCAAATCAGTAACTTGAGGTTTCATGATGGTTAGGCCACTTGTGCCTTGTGTTGTCTTGAGAAAAAGATAAAATAGAAGAATAGAGAGACATTACTTCCTAGTTTAGATCAGTAAACTGGATTAAATGGCATTAGATGGGTGATTACCAGTCCCCTTGCTCTGATGTGATCCAGACCCTTTGCATGTCACTTTAATAAGGGCCTGGATGCAGAGAATGCCAGCAAATAGGGAAATCCAATCAGGACAAAGCTATTCCGATACCTCCTGTAGACCTGATTTGGGACTTGTATTGTTCATTTGAGACTTTGCTGATTTATGCACAGGACAGTCTGTGAACAGACAATGACAAGGAGGTCATATAATGTTGTATAATTAACCCATGTCTAATGGAGCAGTGCATTTAGGTATATGTACATGGGTCAAAGACGAAAAAGGGTTTTCAAACATCAAAACAATAAAAGTTTAATACATCTTACATTTTTTTCTCCATACATTAGAATGTCATGCTTAATTTTATTTTTTCTTAGCAAAAAACTATGACTATCATACATTTTTACGATGAGTTACAGAGTCAAAATGCCATTAAGTCTAACAATAATTCATATAACAAAAAATTGTCCAGTATATTCAGAAACAGAATTATTAGATTACAGTGCAGCCCCCAAATACTAACTAATTGTGATTTTTACCAATCTTTCTCACTGTCCTAACTACTAGGTTTTACCTATTTGTCAGCTAGAAGTTTGTAACCATTTAAAATATAATAAAATTTAGTATGATCACTTATTCTTTTATATATTTTAATGAGTACAGGTCAGAATAATTCTTTTTTACGTAAATATATCTGTTATGCTGAATGACAATGGAACATTATTTCACCTATATTTTGACATTTTATTCACAAGAGTTATTTGAAACGTTTAAGTAGAGACACTTTACTTGCATTTACAGTTTTTTTGAATTGCTAAAACACTTTTTCTGAATTGCTAAAACACATTTCTTGAAACCATCACTCATTTTCTCAAAACCTTAAACACAAATCCAAATACTCAAACTAAATTCACGAAACCTCTGACTCTTCCATCAAAATCAAACAATCGCTGCAAAACCATTTCACTTGCACTCAAAATCAAACGGTGCTCTCAGATCACACACACAATAAAAGTCAATAAAATAAACACTACAGAGCATTCATTAGACACTACAGAGAAAAATGGAGAACACAGCATCCAGAACATTACAGAAAAAAATTTTATTGTATTGAGTAAACAATTTTGCAATTCTGTAAAAAAGTATAGTAATTGCAACTGTGTAAGGTGAATATATTGCATAGGCCTGCTGTATGTACTGCAAGAATAGTATTGTGCTGAATACTGAACTGTACTGAATGCTTGTATATATTCAGCACTTGGATACTGAAAAAATACTGCAGTCCAACTGCAAAGGTCAAATAACACTCTAAATGAATAGCATGTTACAGTACACTCAAATACTGTAAGTTGTGCAATCGTAAAATCAGGGTCAATGAGAGATTCATTCTGTCTCAGCATCATGTCTTTGTGCTGAGACAGTCCAGCCTGAGGACTTTGTCCACATCACAAGTAATGTTGTCTTTTTTGCTAGACAAAGAGAAAAAAACCCTCTGGTCTGACAGATCCAGCCTTGATAACACTCTCTAAGCCTTACTCTTTCTCTCCTCATCCTCTTCCTCCTCATCCTCCACTTCTTACATATACTCTTGCTCCTTTCCTTCTCAGATTGTTTCCATCTATTGTTCGTATCATCATTCAGTCACCTGTGCCACTTGTGCACTCTGAGCTGGCAGTCTGAATCTGAATTATGTACAGTTGGTTTGATAACATCATTAGGAACAAGTGTGAACAATTTTGAATCGTTGTGTGTAAACGATGACAACTGTGCTTTAGTTGTGTTTAACTTTTGCCGCTTGTGTTTAGCATTTTGCAGCACAAATGCATCACAGTGTGATAAGTGTTTAAGTGAATGAGAATGTGCTTAGAGTTTTGCAAAAAGAGTGCATGAGATTTGCAAATAGAGCCTAACTGCCCTTAGAGCCTAACTGCCTGAACTTGTTTAAGGTTTAGCAGAAAGAGTGCTTTATTCGACAAATTGGTTTAAGCTAGGGAGAATTTGGCTGAGAGTGTTTTAGCAATTCATAAAAACTGTAATATGCTTTCTATGTATATAAAATCACTTTTGTAAATTTAATTTGATGTGAAAATTGACACCAAAATTGAATGTCTTGTTTTTGGCCCAAGTGCATGGCGTACCAAAAAGGCCAGGCATATCTCATAGCTACAGCCTGTCTTTGGTTATATATTTATGACCATCATTTGCGACTAGTTGTGAAATGGAGTTCGCTGCTTTAAGCTAATCAGTTGTCAGTCCAGATCTACTACATTTTTGCTTCACATTCAGATCCTAAACATTGAGACCATCTTCTTGATTCAGTTGCTCGGTCTCCTCGGTCTTATAAATAAACTTGTGATGCTTTGGTTAGTGAAATAGCGTGCAGAAAGCATCACAAGCATCACGAAAACAGGGCCAGTATCTGGAATATGTACTTTGGCCGCTACAGTAATGTTGTACGGTTAGTGTGGAAATAGTTGATGGAAATGCGCTTTTGCTGTCTGACTCTCCAAAAACAACTTTTCACAATTTATCCAGAATATTAGTCATTTATGGAGGTTTTCATAATGCTACAATTTATTTTTTGAAACAGCTAATGAGCTTGTCTGTCAAACCCACATTGTTTCACTGCTATTGTTGAGGTGTACTTTTTGTATAAAGCCTTATTGCCTCATAATGGTTTGTTTCATCACCAGTTGCAGGACATTCTAACCGTAATTGTTTTATGGCCGGATTTACATATTTGCTTAAGCTGATTGTGAAATGCTGTGTTTTAAATTCTTACTGCGTTGGTGCTACATATATCTCATTAGAACAGCTGTTTAGCCAAATCATAAAAAAGAGGAAACATAGTTGCTGTCAGGACAGGTAAATTAAGTTTTACACCTGCTTCAAATTTAAGTCACAATGGATTTGGATTTTCTGTTGATTTGATAGGATCACGACTGAATGAAAAACGCTTAGCTTGTGTGCAGCATGCATCCAAAATGATTATAAATGCATCCTGGTGAGACCCTGACACAGTCTGATATTGACAGTTTAATTATAATTTGGAGAAAACTTGGAGCTGTCAATTAAGAATGTATTAAAGACATGTTTGTTAATGGATGAACCGAAATGAAAGTCAACATGAAATCAAATTTTTTTTGGATCCCCAAGACTGCATTTATGTGATCAAAAAATACAGTAAAAATAGTAGTATTGTGAAATATTATTGCACTTTAAAATAGCTGTTTTGTATTTTAATATATTTTACAGTTTTATTTATTCCTGTGATGATAAAGCTGAATTTTCAGCATCATTACTCCAGTCTTCAGTGTCACATGATCCTTTAGAAATAATTCTAATATTCTGATTTTCTGCTCAAGAAACATTTCTTATTATTAGCAATGTTAAAAACAGTTGTGCTGCTTAATACTTTGGAAATGGTGATCCATTTTTTCATGATTTCTTTGATGAATATATAGCGCAAACAAACAGCATTTATTTGAAATAGAAATGTCTTTACTGTCACCTTTGGTCAATTCAAATGCATTTCTGCTGAATAGACAGTGACATGTTTGTGCAAGGAGGTCATCATATTGTATAATTAACCCTTGACTTGTGGAGCAGTAAATTTAGGTGTGTACATGCATGGCATACAAAAAAGACAAGGCAAATGCTGGTTATATATATTTATGACCAGCATTTGCAGTTACTTGTTAAATGGAGTTCTCTACATTAAGCTAAATCCAGATCTACAACATTTTTGCTTCACATTCAGATCCTAAGCACT